CCGACGCGTCCCGCGGCCGCCAGCGGCTCCGCAGCACGAGCTCCGCCGCAGCGAACATCAACACGCGCGAACACAAAAACCGCGCACTAAACCAACGGCGTCGAATCAAACTGTAAATACTCATTGTACATAGCCATCTAATCGACAATATACATCATCTTAATATCCATCCCACTGTATTCACAATTATTTACATCTTCTCGAATCCGGACCACACCGACTCGCAGCTTATCTCGCTCCGAACGCGAAATAGCGTTACAAATTGGCGCCCGAACAGGTTAAAAAGCAAGCAGAGAAAAGAAAGAAAAAATGAAGCGGATGATATATACGCTATCAAAGGAAGAGATAGTAAAAAAGATGGCTGAACTAGGGTTGCCCACAGACGGTACCCTAGACGAACTACGAGCGAGATTAAGCAAACATATGACAGATAACCTTGAGGTGTTGACAAGTAGAAACGAAGATGGGGAAACAAGTCAGGCATCAGAATCGATGCACAGCATCAACCAAATGGACATAGCAAAATCAATAAACCAGATGCGAAAATGGGGATGCCAGTTTGACGGGAAAGACCCAATATCATTTTTAGAGCGCATCGAGGAACTGCAAAACAGCTACGGATATACCGAGGAACAAATGCTGCAGAATTTACCGGAGCTATTAAGAGGCAGGACACTGCATTGGTACCGCAATAATAAAAGAACATGAAGAGGATGGGGTGACTTTCTAAACGCCTTCCGGGAACAATTCTTCCCATACCGGTATCAATTCCAAATTAAGCAGGAGATACAACGAAGGCACCAAGGAGCAAATGAACCCTTCCGACAGTATTCAACCGACCTCGCAACATTGATGAGAAAAGCAGAAGGCTTCTCACGACGCGACCAAATCGAGATGATTTACGAAAATATGTCGCCAGAGCTGAAAGTACACATAAGAAGAAACAACATTCACACGCTAAACAAACTCGGAGCACAGGCAGCAGAAATCAAAGATATAGAGCGACAACGAGCATTATTCCGGAGGAATACACGCTCAATACCACAATCACCAACAACAGCCGCAATATACAATGCGGCTGAACACTGCTGGCGATGCAAGCAAAGAGGGCACTCGAGGCAGAGATGCCGTAATAAACAAAAGAAATTCTGCTCACAATGCGGAAAGGACGGAGTCCTCACGAAAAACTGCCACGTAAAATCGGGAAACCGCACAAGAACCGAGGAATAGGGCGTTCCTTGGTCATACATAAACCCGCAATTAAATATTATCCAAGACCGCACATACAGGTAACAATTGACAACAAAAAATTCGAGGCACTTCTAGACTCGGGATCCGAGATCTCCTGTATCAACCTAAAAACAGCAAAAATGCTAAGGAGACAAACGAGAGTACAAGGACACACCACAACAGTGGTAGAACGAGGGTAGAATAAAGATAACAGGAAGCCTAGTAGTGCCAATACAAATAAACAGGAAAACATACTGGCATAAAGTCCACATTATACCGACACTAGAAAGCGCCGTACTAATCGGCATAGACTTATGGGCAAAAAACTAAAGATACCAATTTTGCCGCCAGCAATAAAACTGCATAATAAGGAAAATATACGCACATGCATCATATCAGAAGGCATTCAACCTCGCTCGAAGAAAGAAACGCAAGGCTGGAAAAGTTCCTAGGAAGAATTCGCAAAATTCGAAAAAATAAAGGGACCAACCAAAATTGCACAACACAAGATAAAGGTAAAACCAGGCACAGAACCAATTAAACAGAGATACAGGCCAAGAAATCCCGCTATGCAGGCAATCAGCGACAAGGAAGTCGAGGATATGGAAAAAAAGGGGATAATAGAAAAATCACAGAGTTCCTGGAGTTCCCCCATTGTACTAGTAAGAAAGAAGGACGGGAAAGACAGATTCTGCGTCAATTTCAGAAAGGTGAACGAAGTCACAGAACAAGACGCATACCCGCTACCTCAAATCACGGCGACACTAGACAAACTACGGGGAGTAAAATACCTTACGACGTTAGACCTCAAGGCAGGGTATTGGCAAATACCTCTAACACCGGAGAGCCGTCCAATCACCGCATTCACCGTACCGGGACGAGGCCTCAAACAATTCAAAGTCATGCCTTTCGGTCTACACTCCGCACCAGCCACATTCCAACGCCTCTTGGACACCATAATCGGACCAGAACTAGAAGAATACGTACAAGTCTACCTATACGATATCATTATCACAACAAAAACATTCGAGCACTACCTACAAGTTTTAAAGGAAGTATTTGTACGACTGAGGAAAGCTAGGTTAAAGCTGAACAGCGAAAAATGCCATTTTTGCAGACCGAACTTAAAATACCTAGGACATATCATAGACAAAAAGGCATACGAACCGATCCGGAAAAAACAAGCGCCGTCAATAACTGGCCAACACCAACGAAGATTAAACACATTAGACAATTCCTAGGAATGGCCTCCTGGTACCGCAGGTTCATTAAAGGATTCT